AGCCCCCCCCCCCCCTCCCCACACCGACCGACCCGTCCAGGAGACCAAAGAGACAGCAGGGAGGCAGAGAGGCGTTCAAAGGCAGCTCGGGCTCCCTCTGGCAGGCGTGACCGGGCTGATCCGGCCGAGGCTGGGAGCCTTGGAGTCCCCGGTCAGCTTGGAGCTCGAGCCTGCTAAGGACCAAAGGACCAGAGGACCTGTGGATCCCTGGATCCGTAGATCCGTGGGCCTATAGATCTGAGGATCTGTGGATCTGAGGCCTGCTGCGGAGCAGAAGCCGGGAGCTGCAGTGGCGGCCTGGATCCGCCGCTCCCCGCCCGCCTGCTTTCCTCCCTTCGCTCGCAGAAGCCGGCAGAGGGAGAGAAAAGCTTTTTATCTCCCTGCCGCTGCAGCTTCACGCTCTCCTCTGCGCGCTCGCCCCCCCTCGCAGCCCCTCCCCTCCCCGCTCAGCGCTCCTCCTCCGACCAATCCGCTGCCGCCTGGCTGCTGCCTCGCTCTCTGAGCCACAGACGCTCATCCGGCCAAAAGGCTCCCCTCAGAGACGGGCTGCAGCAGGACAGGAGGGAAAAACCCAAAGCCGTCCCTTTTAGCTCTCCGATCTGTTTCCCCCCTTCGGTTTTTTTCCTCCGTTTTAAGCTCCACCTGCACGAGTCTGCAGGCTGAAAAGGCTCCGCTGTGACAGGAGAGCAACAGAGAAGCGGAGCGGGAACACAGGATGTGATGGATGGAGGCTGCCAGAGGAGGGGAAAAGGCTCACATCCTCCATTTCATTGCAGTTTGTGGTCCTGTTCCTCTGCCGGCTAACTGGGCCGTCGTCCCTTTGCTGCCCACAACCACAACAATGCAGGATTTGCATCAGCGTGACTAAACAGCCCTTAAAGAATCTCAGGAGGGACTAAAAAACAAGAAAAAGCCTGAGGGGACCCGATCGGATGGCGTTTGTGGGACACAGTCCAGGTAAAACGCATCCAGGACACCATCAGAGGACATCCAAATAGGAAATGGTGGTTAAACAGAAACAGAGATGGAGTTTTTACTATTCTAAAGAGATTCTCCAGGAGCAGCTCCTCTCTGGGAGGAGTCTCCAGGAGCAGCTCTCCAGCTTCTTGAAGGACGTCCCAAAGCTCTTTTTTGGATGCTGCTGCTGCCTTTGGCTCCGTTCTCTGTCAGATGATCCCACACTGCTTCATAATGTGGAGCTCCGGCTCTGGAGGATCCATCCCTCCATCAGAGCTGCTGGGGTTCAGTCCACTTCTGGTTCCTCTGGCAGAGCGACAGAGCCTTTCCTCCCTGTTTCCTTCCTTCAGAGGGGCTTCTTGACAGCCCCCCTTCATGGAGAGCATTTCTGATGAGGCCACCAGGAGACGATCAGCTGGAGGTCCAGATGCAGCTCTCAGCTCCTGTTCCAATCGGTTTTAGTCCAAACTATTCTTCTCTTGCCGTCCAAACGTTTTAGGATCTACTCCTATAGTCCATCTTAAAGGACGATTCTGAGCTGGTAGCTCATAGCTCGCGTTCTTTGGGCTTTCAGACTGGCATAAATCGTCATAAATCCAACAAGTAGAGCTTCAGGATCAGCCATAAAATTGGCGGCAGATGAACGGGAGCCGGGGCTGAAAACCAGCACGCATGCAGCACTTTCCCAGCATTCACGATCCACCATCTCTCCAAAAGCCAAAAGCAACAACAACACACAACCACAAGGCTGTGCACCAGCCAACGGGAGAAGAGCACTGATGGACACCAGAGGCTTTCATCCCTCAGCACCGTCCAACAGGAGCCTGAATGCAGAACAGAGGACACATCCAGCAGCCTTTCTGCCCCAGACTGACCACCAGACTCAGGCTGTCCACAGCAAGAGGACCCCGGCCAGCCAGATCAGCCACCACAAACACTCCGAGTCTCACAAATCTCTCTGCTGTTGTGCCAATGCTAAAAGAAAAAATCCGCTCCCGGGTGAAGCTTTGCTGCAGAGCAAAGCACAATGCTGCTCCATAAATGGGAGGATTTAAGAACCAGAATTACTTTATTTATCCCTTGTGGGAATTTTCTTTTTGCAGTGGAAGAAAAAAAACATTTTACAATCAACAGTATTTACAAAGCTACTCAGTGTCTAAATCACTATTGTTGCACATAACCGGGTTATTGCAAATAGTGAAGTATGAAATAAATAGATGAAATGACTGTCAGGGAGATAGGACGGGGATCCGGATGGTTTATGGAAACCGGGAGGAACGGCGTCCTGAGGGGAGTTCGGTTCAACTCCCAGCTGAACGGTGACAGCTAGTGGTCAGGAGGTGGTGGTGCAGCCTCTTAGGGGACCGGGGGGGTCACCTCTGGGTCAGCGGAGGTGGCGAAACCGGACGAGAGGAATCAAACCGGGAAATCTTAAACGAAAGCTGTGAGACTCAGCTTTTATTCTGCTTTTCAATTAAAGAAAGTCACTGTGACAATCACTGCGACGAGGTTCAAATCTGCCATTTAAATGGACAAATAACACCTCTAAGCTTCTCTCTTTGTTGCTTTCATCCCACAAAAATTGCCTTTTTTCAGGGAAAATTCGATCTGGCTGTTAAATTTTCACACAATGGATAAAAAATGGATAAAAAACACTAAAAAACAACTCTAGGCTCGCAGCATCTGACTTTGTGAGCACTGGGTTTCTGCTGAGTCATGCCCCCCGAAAAACAAACACTGCCCTCCCCCAGAAAAAGGTTCAGGGTCATGACCTTCTGTGTGTCTCTGGGGTGGGGAATAAGTCAATAAGTCAAAAGCCATGACTCAAGTCAAAAGATTTGGGAATAATTAGCTCCAGCCGAACAGGCTGAGGCATGACCAGCTAAGTGGAGCCTCGCTTTAGGGATTAAACAGAGCAAAGAGCCTGGAAAGTCACAGCTCTGTACACATCAGGACTCAGAAAGCACAGCTCGGACTCTCTAAACTGAACAAACCGCCATTCAGACCAGGGGCTCCGAAATATTTCAGCCCACGACTCCCAAATAACAGTACAAGTGACTTGCGCCCCCCCCCCCCCCCACTATAAACATGTAGAAACACTATAGGCAGCATATTGACAACACAAAAGAACACAACACAATAACCTATAATGTGCATTATTTACACTTTTTTACACTAAAATGTTTAATATTTAAAGTTTTTTTACACTACAATGCCTGGAGCAGAGCAAGTCCAGTCTCGGTTTAACGTTGGAGAC